TTTTATATATTTTTCGCCGGTCCGGTTTGGTTTCAAACCATAATTAAAATTCCCAAACCTAAACCAAACCGTTTTTGACCGATTTGGTTTGGTTCAAAACCATTTCGTTGACGGGTCCACGTGGCACCAAACCCCCGATTTCGAAATTGCGGTTTCGGTTCGGTTTGACGGTTTGACGATTTTTGCTTACAGCCCTAATGTAACTAAATCAGCAAAGTATGGCTGCAATTCCTCTTGAGCTGTAGCGCTCAGCGTCGCCCACAAATGCACCCGCGAAGGGAGGAAAGGTCATCAAAATCAATGATCGTATATGCCGAAAGTGTAATAACAATTATGTATGTAAATTTCTCACATGATTATTGTCGAAGAAATCTGAATATGTTCTCGATTGAGGCTATCTTGTGCCAGACCATCGCAACATCCTAGGAAGGTCATCACCAATCTTGCTCGAAAATCAACTCCCAGATTACCTCGTACACCCACAACTACAAGAAATTTATAACCGTGGTTACCATATACGGAGATACAAATAAATGTACAATGCATAGAAATAAAATAAATGCGGACAAATCTATACCTGAACAGCAAGGGGGAATTCGTATAACGTGTACGACATCCTATCACAATCGTTGACCTTTGCGAAGTCCGCCTTTCTCCCCAATCTACGGAGCAATGATTTGATAAGAAGTTTAAAACTTACTGTCCCTAGGGTAGGCATTGAAGAAATTCAAGTCGTCCACAATAGAAAGAGTTTCAGGATATATTCTCACATTTCGGTCTCTGGAATTGAATACTCCTTCAATAATCAGTGCCAATCCAAGCTTGTAAAGATCGTTACGGTTGACACATTTTAAGAAAACCTTTTCCAGGTTACTACAAGTAATTCAGTCTCTATTGGTAAACATTTTGTCACGTAGCAGAGTTTTCTCTAGGATTTTCTCGAAATCCAAACCTTTAGGTAATTCACCACATTTTAACCCAGTGATTAATGAAAACTCCGGTATTCCAAATCTTACAAATCTTTGGTTCACCTTGAACCAAGCCTTGAAACGTTTTGGACAAATCACGGATCTATTCTCCATTTCATGAATTAATTAGGCAGATAGTTTGAGCTCCGACAACTTTGCAACATGTCCTATACAACATTCTTCGAACATATTCTTCTATTCATCGAATTTGTTGAGGACAACTGTTATATACTTGGTGGTGCTAACTTGTGAAATTTGGGCCAACACACGTTCTTCCTCCGGAATTTTGTATCGGTATGAGGAAGTCATCTAAACATATAAAGACAAAACAGAATTTGTCTTATTCAGTTGTATTAGAAAGGCTGCACTTGAAGTTTTAAAAAATAAACAAAAGGATTCAAATGAAGGCTTAATCAAATGCATGCAAATGTAAATAATCAGAGAGAGGAAGATCAAGAACCCTATCAAATGCCTACAAATTGAAAGACATACGGACTCAAATGAAGGCCTAATCACTTAGACAGAAATACACTCATGGAAGAAGTAATGTACATTGACATAGCGAAAAAACAGGGCCTCGGGTCTAGTCAGCCCACTCTTTTCTAAAGAATCATGGCCTGGCAGGCCTTCCCTTTCCGCTGGCCTCTTTCATGATGTCAACCTTGTATTAGCATTATTACCAAAATTCATCAATTTCCAATTTGGGGTTTGAAGATAGCAGGGTAAAGAAATTGCAAGGAAAAGGAAACCATAATCCAAGATAGTTGAAATTCCAGACTTGTTTAGTTGTCCAAGTAAAACAGCGAGGAAAATGATTTTCCAAGTGGCTTTCATTTGGTTGGTTTCAAAATGGAGAAGACAATTTTAAAATGCAATAAGAACATAGAAAAATATAAGTGGGCTATGTTAGTTCGGTGTGATTTTGCATTTCTCCTCATCGATTGTGCATGTATTTGTTCTTCTCAAAACAATTAGAAGTGTGGGAGAATTTTCCAAAGTTGCTTTTCCTTGCTAATTTGTCTAACAAAAATGGAAACTTTTTGACCTGCTATTCACACTTGTTTTGGGCAGGTTAATTATTTCATGGGCGAAATATATATTAACTTGTCTACAAATCAGGAGTTCGGGTTAGGCCGGGTTAACCCGTAACCCACTTCACCAACAGGAATCCAACTCAAAAAAACATCAAAATCGGCATCTTCAATGAAAAAGATAGCATTTATTATGATTTGACATGTATACTTTTTGAAATAAGTATGGATAGATTATGTGCCGACTTTTTATTGGTTAACGCAATTAAAGTAATGTGAAATTTGTCTCTACTTTGGAATTAGAAATTGATAATAAAAGCATTTTGGTCTAATTTTTTGCAAAATGGACATTGAACAAATTTTGAACATTTTTGCAAAGAATAATGCTAGTTGCAGTCGCTCACTGCAGCAGTTGCCCTATGTGGCACACATATGTCAAGTGTGTATTTGATGCATTAAATGTGGTAAAAAACTACCACATTAATGCATCAAATAACTATATGCCATGTGTGTGCCACATAGGGCGACTGCTGCAGTGAGCGACTGCAAGTAGCATTATTCTTTTGCAAATGACCATGTGAAAGTGGTAATTTGTTGAAATCTCATATTGCTCTATCTGAACCATTGTAAGGCATAAGATATTTTGGCTCAAATGGTCCCTAACATTTTATCTTTGTGTGATTTTGATCCCCATTCTATATTTCCTTGACATAGATGTTCTCATCCAATCAATTTCATGCACAAAAATTCCTTTCTGACAGAATTCGTCCATATTGCCGTTAGTTTTGTGCATGGCTTTCACCTCCATTTTATTCCAAAAGACAATTTGTCAAACTTACTGAATTCCAGATGTATTTCGACGTGGAATATAAGTTCTTTTGGCCTGTGTTAACTGTTGAAAATTTATTACCCGATTTCACGATAAGTAAAAGTCTGTTTTCATTAATACTTTGTTTGAAAAAAAAATTTTATGTTCTCCTTGTGTCTGTTAGGCTTATATAGTTCTTGTTTTGGGAATATTGCATGTATTTGATGGGGTTTATTTTTTGTTTTTTATGTTCTCCTTAGATGTCTTTGTAAATTTATTAACAACCTTACAATGGATGCAAAATAGGCAGGGCATCATTAAATTGGTTAAAATAATCTAAAGAAAAACTAGTTAAAATAAAAGATAAAGAAAAATAATAAATATTTTTTGGGAGTAGTAAAATTAAGTGTTAAATATAAAGAGCTTGTTGAAATACTTTAAAATTTTAGTGGAAATTACACGGAACCCTACTATTAAAATCCCCAATTCTAAAATCAGGTGAGAAGGTTTACTTTTCACAAATTAGATGTTTCATATTTAAATTATAAATATTAAATATACCATTTCCATCATAAAACCCTAATCAATTTCCTCTCTCTCTCTCTCTCTCTCTCTCTCTCTCTTTATACCCATCGTTACGCAGACGGCAGATGTAGTCCACCACTGCTGCCGGCAATGCGATGCTCCTCGGTGGTGGTGGTGGTGGTTTGTGGTGTGATTTGGTTGATGGTGGCGGCAGCGGTTTGTGGTGATAAATCTGCAGCGTTGCGATGTGAAGCGGACCAAGCGGTGATGGCGGTTTCTGAAGTGGCGTTCTGATTTTGCCTGTTCCTTTTCTTTAACTTCTCGCCAATATGATTATTAAATCGTCGTTTAAAAATGGGAAATAACCATTCGTCAACCAGTGGTGGGTGCAGTTCGGTGATGATGGTGGGGTTCCATATTCTTCGCCCCGAAGCCCAGGCCTCACTCCTTCCCCGCCGCTGTTCCTTTTCTTCAGCTTCTCGCTGGAGTTGGGTGGTGACCAGTTTCTGTGGGTTTTATTGTGGGTTGTTGTAGTGCGATGTTGTCGGAATTAGGTCACGATTTGGTGTTGAATGGTAGGGAAACTGGGGAATGATCTGCTGAAGTGTGAGCGACGATGTCATCGGAGTTTAGTGGAGATCTGGTGCAGAATAACGAAAAATCTAGTTTTCAAATCGTGACGTAGTGGTGACGTGGCGGAGGCAGCAGAGAGGTGATGGTGGTTGTGGGGTGTTGGCGGTTTTGTATCTATTTTTTTGGTATATCTGGCTGTGGTCGTGATGGTTTCTAGCCGCGATGGAGTTGGGTGATCGTGGTGGATCTGGTGGTTGCGTGGGTGCTGTTGGTGTAGTGGTGGACGGTGGCGGTGATGTTGTTAGAGACAGCGTTGAATTGGTGGCTGTGACCGCATAATGGACTATACGTGACCTTAAAATTTGACAATTTGTGACTAAAAATTAATCTGTAACCTGTAATTTTTTGATATGTGACCAATAAAATAATCTGTGACCTATAAAATTATTGATTTGTGAGCTCGAAATAATTCGTGACCTCCAAAAATTTTGATCTGTGACTGATAAACAAATTGTGACTTATAAAATTTTTGAACTGTGACCTCGAAATAATTCGTGACGTATAAAATTTTTGATCTGTGACTTCAAAATAATTTGTGACCTATAAATTTTTTGATTTGTGACCTCAAAAATAATCCGTGACCAATTAATTATATATCCGTGACCATTAATTGTATAATTATGACATCATTATATTTAATTAATTAATTAAATCATAATAAATTTTAATAAAA